ACAAAATACCACATTGTATTGCATGTGCTGCACAGCCTTCCCAATTAACAATGCACTGGCACCTCAAACCCTATAATCAATAAATTATACCCACAATTTGCCCAACACATTTTATCTCTGTCCCTAAAATCCCCTACTGTACAATTAAAACAATGGACATTTCCTGGTGGAAATCAGAGTGAAATCAATAATTAATTGTGAATGTAAAGAATCACAGTTCCCATGGGATGGTGTACAGATGGAATTTCAAATGGTGCAGACATAAATAACCGGAAACAATGTGCCTTGAGCCGGCACCTAAGGAGAGGCTGCTGCTGATCTCCCAGCGTGGTTCTGCCAGGAAGCACACAGTGCTCCATTCTGTCATGTAAGTGTGCACTGCTCTCTCCCAGCTCAGCTTGCCGCTCAGAACTACAGTGGCTTGCGAAAGCATTCACACCCCTTGGCATTTTTCCTATTTTGTTGCCTTATAACCTGGAATTAAAATTGAATTTTGGGGGGTTTGTATCATTTGATTTACACAACATGCCTACCACTTTGAAGATGCAAAATATTTTTTATTGTGAAACAAACAGGAAATAAGACAAAAAAAACATTAAACTTGAGCGTGCATAACTATTCACCTGTCTCATCTGACCAGAGTACCTTCTTCCATATGTTTCGGGAGTCTCCCACATGCCTTTTGGCGAACACCAGATTTGTGGAATGTACGGCTTAAAATGGTCCTATGGACAGATACTCCAATCTCCACTGTGGAGCTTTGAAGCTCCTTCAGGGTTGTCTTTGGTCTCTTTGTTGCCTCTGATTAATGCCCTCCTTGCCTGGTCCGTGAGTTTTGGTGGGCGGCCCTCTCTTGGCAGGTTTGTTGTGGTGCCATATTCTTTCCATTTTTTAATAATGGATTTAATAGTGCTCCGTGGGATGTTCAAGGTTTTGGATATTTTTTTATAACCCAACCCTGATCTGTACTTCTCCACAACTTTGTCCCTGACGTGTTTGGAGAGCGCCTTGGTCTTCATGGTGCCGCCCCTTGCTTAGTGGTGTTGCAGACTCTGGGGCCTTTCAGAACAGGTGAATATATATACTGAGATCATGTGACGCTTAGATTGCACACAGGTGGACCATATTTAACTAATTATGTGACTTCTGAAGGTAATTGGTTGCACCAGATCTTATTTAGGGGCTTCATAGCAAAGGGGGTGAATACATTTGCACGCACCACTTTTCCGTAATTAATTTTTTTGAATTTTTTGAAACAAGTTATTTTTTTCATTTCACTTCACCAATTTGGACCATTTTGTGTATGTCCATTACATAAAATCCAAATAAAAATCAATTTAAATTACAGGTTGTAATGCAACAAAATAGGAAAAACGCCAAGGGGGATGAATAATTTTGCAAGGCACTGTACATGTAACGGTACAGTGTGGGTGTCATGACCCAGCGGCGAGTCGTCCTGTTAGTTCAGATCTTGAGCAACAGGGCAATGGAGCAAATGGGACATCTCAGTGAGCGCTAGAGGAAGGTGATGGGACTGCATTAACAAACTAAGGTAGCCAACAAGACAATGACCAGTAGCAAAATGAAGATTTTCAGAAACATAAAAAGTTGAAGGCACATTTGTTTATCAGAATACACACATTACAGTATTTACTTTTCCTAGGGTAGTATGTTATATACAGTAAGTTATTCCTCTTTATGGACATTTCTATAGTCAGCTCTGTTCCAGACCAGGTCAGTGGTGATTACCACAGACACACAGAAGGCAGGTCAGTCAGTGATTACCACAGACACTCAGGGGGTCTGTGTGTGCCAGGCCAGGCGGCAGACCTAATTGGAGCCCTCAGTCCTCCATTTCCAAAAGCATGATCTCCCCACAGCAGCCCTGATAAACAAAGCACACAGAGGATCAATGTCTGTTGCCCGGGGAGCCTTCAGCTGGCACAAACGCTGCTCTTTACATCTCTCACTGCACTTTTCCCATTCATTAACCTAAATGATCCGCCTGCCTGGGGGGGAGACAGTGAATGGTGTTAAACAATTATCCAATTAGCAGTCTTTTGTCCCGAATGACCACTTATGTATTGACTGGCTTAATGGCTTGATATATTGATACTTGCAAAACGCTGCAGGCACTGATTAATTAATTAATTGGACTTTCCTGCTACATCCTCTGTCACATGCGTGATGGGGAAGTGAGATACTAATGTTGTCAGTCTAGGTTATCTAGTATCTGGGTGTTAATGTGCATTCACTTTTGAATGAGTCATTAGCCTGGGATTAGTGGTGTGATGTATCGATATTGAATCAATTCTATGGCCCATTTATAATTCTCCATGTCTCTCCTCGGTAAATTCAAGCCATGTGCATCATGAACAGGCAGAGAACTAGGAAATACATGGATGAACACTAAACTATTTAAAAGATCAGAATGTAAAAACTACCAACTGTAAAGGTCAAAGTTAAATAATCTGTAGTCCTTGAGATGGCTGACGAGCCATCTCTCAAAGTGTTCTTAAAAAGCTTAAAAAGCTTATGTAAGGATATATTAATTTCCATGGTGAGAGCTCGAACAAAACACCCCCATGAAATGTCAGGGTTTGAAATAATTTTGTGGGCGGGAAGCCACCAAAGAACTTGTCATTTCCAAACATTAGGGTATTTATGGATTGAAACAAAAGGGCTTGGTGCCGATGAATGACTGGGCTCCAATCAGGACAGACACTGCATACCTGACGGGTATATGAGGACAGCTCTATTGTATCTCGAGGTGACCTACAGTATGCCTTGTTTTGGCATTATTTCGTGCAGTAGCTTTATACAAGGGAAATGGCAATGTCATCTCAAATTCTCTGAATTCTAGCATCAACAGGGCATCAGTTTTGGAGAATGGGAACCCACAGGCTGAATCACCGAATGCCGACAGACACAGAACAGCAGGGTAAGGTTGGCCTACCCTCTCTGTATGTGCTGCAGGTAGCTCCCACCATTCATCTGAGAGAGGAGCGAGGTGGTAAAGGCTAGAATTCCATCTCTTATTATTGACTAGATTCTCCCCCAGTTGTGTGAAGTTGTAATCTGACAATCAAAACCCTTTCATGCCAAGCTCGGGCCCCTCCGCTCACTCTCTGTCTCTCTCAGCCCTACTTGGAAAGGATAGTGCCTCGTTAGCTAGCTGATAAATAATGAACAAGCCCCAAACTACAGAGAGAGAAAACTCTGCGGACTGACTATCACCATGGCATTCGGATTCTGCTCGTTCTCTGTCTGTCCGTCTGCTCTGAGTCCTGGGTCCATCTAGTATCAGAGGCTTTATACTCTAAAGACGTCAGCTAAGCTTTCATCCACAAACCAGCCCAACCTATGCTGGCAGGAAACTTGCGTCATTAATGGTTTAAACATGACCCCGTGTTGTGCAGATGACGTAGTTGCGAAATGGACGGTTATTCACCATAGCATACTCTTTAGAAATACCAGTTGGTCAAATATCACTTGCACAATGCCTCATCTCTAAAGCATAAGACAATAAAGCATGTATATACATCTTTAATGAACAGTTATAACTCATTGAACTACTTAAACACAATTTCCCTAGTCATTCTGTTTTCGTACGTTTCCGCCTCAGTATATCCACCACTGATTGTGTATAAATCAATACTCACTTTCGGATCAAATCTAATATTACAGGAACTATTAAACACCTTTTCCTGTTATTGCAGGAATCAATAGGCATACAATATGGTAAACTCAATAAGCCCACCAAATGCATGGGGCATTTTCAGAATCTAACATCCTTTACAGGTAAATGCACTTTCCATTTAGTTATGGCTTCTAAATTATTGGTTTCATAGAGTCCTATCAGCATGACAATAATTATTTAATCCAACATGTTACTGAGAAATACACATTAATTTAGCTATTCCTTGCTGCTGCATTGAGGGAGACACAATCAACCATACAGACTATGTTATAAAACTTACTGTGGTCAAAGAGACACAAACAATTATGTTTGCAGTCTTGTGTAGTGTACTATATATAGAGTTGATTGTATGAAAAACATTATCTGTATGTTTGAGACACTTGGTGGTAATGTTTAAAGTGGTCTTAGTGCCCTTTCCGTGGGCAATCAATATTTCACATATCTAACACCCTCTAAAGTCTATGAGTGGTTGGTGGCTCAGGTGGTAATTGACCTTTAAAAAAAGAAAATATTACCCCATTTTTCTCCCCAATGTCATAATATCCAATTACGATCTTGTCTCATCACTGCAACTCCCCAACGGGCTTGGCAGAGGCAAAGGTCTAGTCATGCGTCCTCCGAAACATAACCCGCCAAGCCGTGCTTCTTAACACCCGCTCGCTTAACCCGGAAGCCAGCTGTCGGAGGAAACACCGTTCAACTGATGACCGAAGTCAGTTGTCAGGCGCCCGGCTCGTCACAAGGAGATGCTAGAGCACGATGAGCCAAGTAAAGCCCCCCCGGCCAAACCCTCCCCTAACCCAGACGACGCCCTAAGGGATCAAACCCCAGGCTGTAGTGACGCCGCAACACTGCGATGCAGTGCCTTAGACCGCTGCGCCACTTGGGAGGCTCGACCTTGACCATTTCTATTAGCCTTCTGGGACAAAGGACTAAATAGCCCTGAAGGGGAGGCCTTGCTTTCTTTCTCAGCTAGCAGATAATAATGATGACTTGATATGACTTGACCGTGATAATGATAATGACCGTGATAGGAAAAACATTTTTAAATACATACAAGACAAAAGGTAAAGCAGGTGTTAGCAACCTGTAATTGATGTTGCTCTCTATGAATAACTTTATAGAGTTGTTATATTCCTCACATGCCAGAGGTAGAGAATGCGTGGTATACTGTCTCTCTCCGCCTCTCTCTCAGTTGCGTGACAAGGCAAGTTATTGCTGGCCACTAACTGAATCACAGTGCTTGTCTCAGTTTAATTAATTGTAAAGGAGTAATCTACCTCAACAACAAGGAGATGGCTTACAGTCTCTGTGAGTTATTGAGTTCTCCTACCACGTCATCCTGAAAGTAAAAGAAAGAACATCAGCCACCTTCGACCTCAACCCCAGCACCAAACATGTATGCACACACAACGAACGTACACATGCACACACACATCTGCCCTTCAACTTCCCATATGTGGACAGGAATGCTCTATAGACCATGTTGGTGAATGACAATACCTGCTGTAGTAAGATGCCGTTTTGGAATACCAGACAGAAGCCTGCCTGTATGTGGCCACAAGCATAGTAAAGGGAAGTATGTATTGACCCTGTCTTAGTTTTTTTTGTCTGCAACGAGAACAACTTGGACTCAATGTGGGCAGTGTTGAGAAACCAAGCCATCACCAGAGCATCATGTCATCAAATTAATATAATCAGTCCCACAGAATTCCTACTGTGGGTAATGACATTAGGACCCGGTGACAGCAATTTTGTCCACTTATGCTGGGGCTCACTAGTCCTCTAGTAGGACCGGGTCAATCGGCCCAGTGTGCCTGCCACCTTAGGGAGTTCTCAGATGACCAAACAGCGCCTCCTACTGGACAACATGAACTTTACAACAACGTGCCACTGGAGGTCCAAATGATATTCAGCCCTTTGAAGATAATTCACTATAACAATCAGGTTAAAGCATATTCACTCCATTGAACCAGTTTAGGCTTATGGATCGAGAGAAAAAATGGGGGAAACCAGAGAGATGGATGAGACCAACGTTATGTTCATCATGAATATCAATCATCCATTTACATTTACATTTTAGTCATTTAGCAGACGCTCTTATCCAGAGCGACTTACATATATATATATTTTTTTATACTGGCCCCCTGTGGGAATCGAACCCACAACCCTGGCGTTGCAAACACCATGCTCTATCAACTGAGCTATATCCCTGCCGGCCATTCCCTCCCCTACCCTGGACGACGCTGGGCCAATTGTGCGCCGCCCATGAGTCTCCCGGTCGCGGCCGGCTGCGACAGAGCCTGGATTCGAACCAGGGTCTAGTGGCACAGTTTTGCACTGCGATGCAGTGCCTTAGACCACTGCGCCACTCAGGAGCACATCCAGGTATCAAAGATCCATACATAATGGCCATAAGCTGTTACAGTTGTACTATCTAGACCGACCATATTTTACCCCCTCCTTTTCTAACGCACTCTTAGACCAGAGATGATGCCTGTGGAACAGAGCCTTCTGCACATTGGCCACAGGCTGCATCACCCCACTGATAGAGTTAGCTCTATCTGTCTGAAACAGCAGACATGCCCAGCAGCTATTCCAGATGGCTCCCAGCCATGACAGGAGAGGAATACGACCCAGCCGTCACATTTGTTTCATACAGTTGAAGTCAGAAGTTTACATACACCTTAGCCAAATACATTTCAACTCTGTTTTTCACAATTCCTGACATTTAATCCTGTCTTAGGTCAGTTAGGATCACCACTTTATTTTAAGAATGCGAAATGTCAGAATAATAGTAGAGAGAATGATTTATTTCAGCTTTTATTTCTTTCATCACATTCCCAGTGGGTCAGAAGTTTACATACACTCAGTTAGTATTTGGTAGCATGGCCTTTAAATTGTTTAACTTGGGTCAAACGTTTCGGGTAGCCTTCCATAAGCTTCCCACAATAAGTTGGGTGAATTTTGGCCCATTCCTCCTGACAGAGCTGGTGTAACTGAGTCAGGTTTGTAGGCCTCCTTGCTCGCACATGCTTTTTCAGTTCTTCCCACAAATTTTCTATAGGATTGAGGTCAGGACTTTGTGATGGCCACTCCAATACCTTGACTTTGTTGTCCTTAAGCCATTTTGCCACAACTTTGGAAGTATGCTTGGGGTCATTGTCCATTTGGAAGACCCATTTGCGACCAAGCTTTAACTTCCTGACTGATGTCTTGAGATGTTGCTTCAATATATCCACATAATTTTCCTTCCTCATGATGTCATCTATTTTGTGAAGTGCACCAGTCCCTCCTGCAGCAAAGCACCCCCACAGCATGATGCTGCCACCCCCGTGCTTCACGGTTGGTATGGTGTTCTTCGGCTTGCAAGCTGTCCCCTTTTTCCTCCAAACATAACGATGGTCATTATGGCCAAACAGTTCTATTTTTGTTTCATCAGACCAGAGTACATTTCTCCATAAAGTAAGATATTTGTCCCCATGTGCAGTTGCAAACTGTAGTCTGGCTTTTTTATGGCGGTTTTGGAGTAGTGGCTTCTTCCATGCTGAGCGGCCTTTCAGGTTATGTCGATATAGGACTTGTTTTACTGTGGCTATAGATACTTTTGTACCTGTTTCCTCCAGCATCTTCACAAGGTCCTTTGCAGTTGTTCTGGGATTGATTTGCACTTTTCGCACCAAAGTACGTTCATCTCTAGGAGACAGAACGCGTCTCCTTCCTGAGCGGTATGACGGCTGCGTGGTCCCATGGTGTTTATACTTGTGTACTATTGTTTGTACAGATGAACGGGGTACCTTCAGGCGTTTGGAAATTGCTCCCAAGGATGAACCAGACTTGTGGAGGTCTACAATTATTTTTCTGAGGTCTTGACTGATTTCTTTTGATTTTCCCATGATGTCAAGCAAAGAGGCACTGAGTTTGAAGGTTGGCCTTGAAATACATCCACAGGTACACCTCCAATTGACTCAAATGATGTCAATTAGCCTATCAGAAGCTTCTAAAGCCATGACGTCATTTTCTGGAATTTTCCAAGCTGTTTAAAGGCACAGTCAACTTAGTGTATGTAAACTTCTGACCCACTGGAATTGTGATACAGTGAATTATAAGTGAAATAATCTGTCTGTAAACAATTGTTGGAAAAATTACTTGTGTCATGCACAAAGTAGATTTGCCAAAACTATAGTTTGCTAACAAGAACTTTGTGGATTGGTTGAAAAACGAGTTTTAATGACTCCAACCTAAGTGTATGTAAACTTCCGACTTCAACTGTATATCAGGCTTTTGTTTCAGTAGTCCCAGGTATCATGTCTGTATTCTGAGCTAAACCCATCCGGGGGGTGCTCTCTTCATCTCTTCATCTCAGACCTTCAAAAACAAGGCAGTCTTAATCACAATGAGACATCAGACACACACAAAGAGATGCATTATTACTGTACGGTTGTTTAGACTTTAGAACCCATCTCACATCCTGGTTAATTATGTCGTCTTTCCACACTTCACTACAGGAAGTGTGGTTATTCCCTGATAAAACATCTTGCTTATCAAGATGGCTGAGACCCAAACTTCTGATAGTCAATTCTACTATGGCGCAGTAGGTCATAACACAACACTCTTTGAAAAAGGTTAACTGAGTTGAATATGAGGTTGTTCAACAAAAACGACTCACAGGATTGTTCTGCAGGAGTTTTTACATGGAAGTTTGCAGCTGAGTAATGGCGGATGCACGACAACTCCACGTAAATAATCATTATACTGTCTACAACTGTTAAGTCTCTTGTTATGTATTATTCATATGTTTTCAGTAGTGGAGGAATCCATTTTTTAATTTGCATGGAGCCCTCTTTATGCCCTCTTTTTTTTTTTGGGGGGGGGGGGGGTCATTTAGCAGACACTCTTATCCAGAGCGACTTACAGGAGCAATTACATTTACATTTACATTTACGTCATTTAGCAGACGCTCTTATCCAGAGTGACTTACAAATTGGTGCATACACCTTATAGCCAGTGGGATAACCACTTTACAATATGTTTTTTTGGGGGGGGTGGGGTAAGGAGGGGTAGAAGGATTACTTTATCCTATCCCAGGTATTCCTTAAAGAAGTGGGGTTTCAAGTGTCTCCGGAAGGTGGTGAGTGACTCCGCTGTCCTGGCGTCGTGAGGGAGCTTGTTCCACCATTGGGGTGCCAGAGCAGCGAACAGTTTTGACTGGGCTGAGCGGGAACTGTGCTTCTGCAGAGGTAGGGGGGCCAGCAGGCCAGAGGTGGATGAACGCAATGCCCTCGTTTGGGTGTAGGGACTGATCAGAGCCTGAAGGTAAAGAGGTGCCGTTCCCCTCACAGCTCCGTAGGCAAGCACCATGGTCTTGTAGCAGATGCGAGCTTCAACTGGAAGCCAGTTGGCGTTAGTGTGCTTAGGAGCGGGGTGACGTGAGAGAACTTGGGAAGGTTGAACACCAGACGGGCTGCGGCATTCTGGATGAGTTGTAGGGGTTTAATGGCACAGGCAGGGAGCCCAGCCAACAGCGAGTTGCAGTAATCCAGACGGGAGATGACAAGTGCCTGGATTAGGACCTGTGCCGCTTCCTGTGTAAGGCAGGGTCATACTCTCCGAATGTTGTAGAGCATGAACCTACAGGATCGGGTCACCGCCTTGATGTTAGCGGAGAACGACAGGGTGTTGTCCAGGGTCACGCCAAGGCTCTTTGCACTCTGGGAGGAGGACACAACGGAGTTGTCAACCGTGATGGCGAGATCATGGAACGGGCAGTCCTTCCCCAGGAGGAAGAGCAGCTCCGTCTTGTCGAGGTTCAGCTTGAGGTGGTGATCCGTCATCCACACTGATATGTCTGCCAGACATGCAGAGATGCGATTCGCCACCTGGTTATCAGAAGGGGGAAAGGAGAAGATTAGTTGTGTGTCGTCTGCGTAGGAATGATAGGAGAGGCCATGTGAGGATATGACAGAGCCAAGTGACTTGGTGTATAGCGAGAATAGGAGAGGGCCTAGAACTGAGCCCTGGGGGACACCAGTGGTGAGAGCATGTGGTGCGGAGACAGATTCTCGCCACGCCACTTGGTAGGAGCGACCTGTCAGGTAGGACGCAATCCAAGAGTGAGCCACGCCGGAGATGCCCAACTCGGAGAGGGTGGAGAGGAGGATCTGATGGTTCACAGTATCAAAGGCAGTAGACAGGTCTAGAAGGACAAGAGCAGAGGAGAGAGAGTTAGCTTTAGCAGTGCGGAGAGCCTCCGTGACACAGAGAAGAGCAGTCTCAGTTGAATGACCAGTCTTGAAACCTGACTGGTTTGGATCAAGAAGGTAATTCTGAGAGAGATAGCAAGAGAGTTGGCTAAAGACGGCACTCTCAAGAGTTTTGGAGAGAAAATAAAGAAGGGTTAAGTGCCTTGCTCAACGGCACATCGACAGATTTTTCACCTAGTTGGCTCGGGGATTAGAACCAGCAACCTTTCGGTTACTGGCACAACGCTCTTAACCACTAAGCTACCTGCCGCTTCCTACAGCAGCTTCAGCAACTCTTAAGAATTGGTTTCTGCTCTATAGCAACTGCACACAAAATCATACAAGTTGCTGAGCATTTAAGAGCATTCTAACTGAACTGAGATTGCAAGGTGTGTGGTGAGTGGGAAAAATTCTGCCTGTAGAAATAGGCCTAACGCCATCCCACCCCAACCTAATTCTGTCAATTTCTGATTTCAGTATAAATACTTGACAGACTATGCTTCCTATAAAATAGTTTATGAGTAGCCCTCTGGGATGAGCTTTTACCAAGTGTTGCAGATGGTTTAATGGATCATATACAAGCTCCAGGAGGAAACAGAGGAGATCAATCAGGTGAGACTCCTTTCTGGAGGAGCAGTGTGCTCAAGCTCTGTGTCTACAGAGACCTGTCTGTAATCTGTCTCAGACTCTCTTGAACAAAGTTATAGCAGCAGGAAGGAGAGAAAGGAGAGTGTTTAAGAGAGAAAACATCTGTTAAGTTATTTTAACCTAATTATCGTAACATCCTTTGAGAGAGAGACTTGTGATATTCAATCTCCTTGTGATGAGGTGGTGATGAAGGAGTCAGGCGCAGGAGGGTAAATCACAGAATAACAGGCTTTAATCCGCAAAATACAGGTTTACGCAGAAATGCGTCAAACACCCTCCAGAGCACAAAACAGGCGCACTGGAAAATACAAGGCACACGGGGAAAATACTCCTGTCGATACACAATACACGAGCTTCACTAACCTCCACAATAAACAATCACCCACACAGACAAGGAAACAGAGGGAACACTTATACCATGACTAATGAGGGAATAAGGACCAGGTGTGTGTGATTGAAGACAAGACAAATGGAGTGATGATAATTTGGCTCGGCAGTAGCTAGTAAGCCGGTGACGCCTAATGCCGAAACCTGCCCGAACAAGGAGGGGAGGCAGCCTCGGTGGAAGTTGTGACAGTACCCCCCCCCCCCCTTGACGCGCGGCTCCAGCAGCGCGCCGACCCCAGCCTCGGGGACGGCCAGGAGGACGCGGAGCAGGGCAAGCCGGATGGCGACGGTGGAAATCCCGTAACATGGAGGGATCGAGGATATCCCTCACCGGGACCCAGCACTGTTTCTCCGGACCGTACCCCTCCCACTCCATGAGGTACTGAAGGGCCCCCAACCGACGCCTCGAATCCAGGATGGAACGGACAGAGTACGCCGGGGCCCCCTCGATGTCCAGAGGAGGTGGAGGGACCTCCCGCACCTCAGCCTCCTGGAGCGGACCAGCTACCACCGGCCTGAGGAGAGACACATGAAACGAGGGGTTAATACGGTAATCAGGGGGGAGTAATAACCTATAAGTGACCTTGTTGACTCTCCTCAGGACTTTGAACGGCCCCACAAACCGCGGGCTCAGCTTCCGGCAGGGGAGGCGGAGAGGCAGATTCCGGGTCGAGAGCCAGACCCGATCCCCCGGTACAAAGACGCGGGCCTCACTGCGGTGGCGGTCAGCGTTGGCCTTCTGATGACGCACAGCGTGTTGGAGGTGAAAGTGGGAAGCATCCCATGTCTCCTCTTTGTGCCGAAACCAGTCATCCACTGCAGGAGTCTCGGTCTGGCTCTTGTGCCAGAACCGGTTGGTAACCTAGAATACACTGGAAAGGCATTAGGTTAGTGGAGGAGTGGCGGAGAGAGTTCTGGGCATATTCTGCCCATGGCAAGAACACCGACCACTCCCCCGGCCGGTCCTGGCAGTAGGACCACAGGAACCTACCCACGTCCTGATTTAACCGTTCCACCTGCCCATTACTCTCGGGGTGGAACCCAGAGGTCAGGCTGACCGAGACCCCCAGACGTTCCATGAACGCCTTCCAGACCTTGGACGTGAACTGGGGACCTCGGTCAGACACTATATCCTCTGGTACCCCGTAGTGCCGGAAGACGTGTGTAAACAGGGCCGCCGCAGTTTGCAGAGCCGTGGGGAGACCGGGCAGAGGAAGGAGGCGGCAGGCTTTAGAAAAGCGGTCCACAACGACCAGGATGGTGGTGTTACCTTGGGAGAGGGGAAGATCAGTTAGAAAATCAACACTTAGGTGAGACCATGGTCGTTGTGGAACTGGTAAAGGTTGTAACTTACCAGCTGGGAGATGCCTAGGTGCCTTACTCTGGGCGCACACTGAGCAGGAGGAGACATACACCCTCACATCCTTAGCCAAGGTAGACCCACCAGTATTTTCCGGTCAGGCAGCGCACTGTACGGCCCAGTAGATCAGACGATCACGGATAAGAGCAGGCATGTACTGTAACCCATCTGGACACTGAGGTGGAGAGGGATCCGTGCGTAATGCCTGCTCTATATCCTTGTCCATCGCCCATAAACCGGCGCCACAATGCAGGAGGCCGGCAGTATGGGAGTGTTGTTGCTGGGCCTCTCCTCTGTGTCATACAGCCGGGACAGCGCGTCGGCCTTCACGTTCTTCGTACCTGGGATGTATGATAGAGTGAAATCAAACAGGGTGAAGAATAGGGCCCATCTGGCCTGGTGAGGATTCAGCATCCTCGCTGCCTGGATGTACTCCAGGTTACGGTGGTCCGTCCAGACGAGGAAAGGGTGTTTTGCCCCCTCGAGCCAATGCCTCCACACGGTCAAGGCTCGAACAACAGCCAACAGCTCCCGATCACCAACGGCGTAGTTCTGCTCCGCCGGGCTGAGCTTCTTCGAGAAGAACGTACAGGGGCGGAGCTTGGGTGGCGTACCCGAGCGTTGAGACAGGACAGCTCCTATCCCAACCTCGGACGCATCCACCTCCACTACGAACGGTAGTGATGAATCGGGGTGGGCCAGTACTGGGGCTGAGGTGAACAGACCCCGCAGTTTGCTGAAGGCCAGGTCAGCCTCAGCAGACCAGCGGAGCCGGGACGGCCCACCCTTCAACAGGGAGGTAATGGGAGCTGCGACCTCGCCAAAGCCCCGGATAAACCTCCGATAGTAGTTGGATAAGCCAAGGAATCGCTGCACCTCCTTGACCGTGGTTGGAGTCGGCCAATTACGCACGGCTGAAATGCGATCTCCCTCCATCTCCACACCTGAGGTGGAAATGCGGTATCCAAGGAAGGAGACGGACTGCTGGAAAAACATACACTTCTCTGCCTTAGCATAAAGGTCATTTTCCAACAGTCGGGCCAGCACCTTGCGAACCAGGGACACATGCTTGGCGCGCGTAGCGGAATACACCAGGATGTCATCAATGTAGACCACTACACCGCGACCAAGCATGTCCCGAAACACCTTGTTTACAAAGGACTGGAAAACTGAGGGAGCATTCATCAAACCATAGGGCATCACCAGGTATTCATAATGTCCCGTGGTTGTGCTGAATGCTGTCTTCCACTCATCTCCCTCTCGGATACGCACCAGGTTGTACGCACTCCTGAGATCTAATTTGGTGAAGAAGCGCGCCCCATGCATTGATTCAATCACTGAAGGAATGAGGGGGAGAGGATAACTAAATCTTATCGTCTCCCTGTTCAGTGGTCGATAATCAATGCACGGGCGCAGACCTCCGTCCTTCTTCTTCACAAAGAAGAAACTCGAGGAGGCGGGTGAAGTGGAGGGACGTATATACCCCTGGCGCAGGGACTCAGTGACATATGTTTCCATAGCCACCGTTTCAGCCTGTGACAGGGGGTATATATATATGACTCCTGGGAGGTACATCGTCTACCCGGAGGTTTATCGTGCAATCCCCCGCCCGATTAGGTGGTAATTTAGTCGCCTGCGTTTTAGAGAACGCTTGCGTCAGATCGAGGTATTCAGGGGGAATGCGCACGGTGGAGGGTACTGTCTTGACTTTCCAATGTGGTTGCGCCAACGGAAACACCTAGACACCTACACTCTCGCAACCACCCCGTGAGAACCCTCTGCGGCCATGAGAAGGTCAGGTTGTGGAGTGCTAGCCAAGGGATACCTAATACCACAGGGAAAGCAGGAGACAATAATGGAAAAAGTAACCTGCTCACAATGAGTCTCCTGGGTAATCATGGTGACTGGTGCAGCAACTTCCTTAACCAACCCGGACCCTAATGGTCGACTATCAAGTGCTCTGATGGGGCGTGGAATGGCGGGGAATCAATGGAATACATATACGGTGTGCGAATGCCCTATCCATAAAGTTCCCAGCTGCGCCTGAATCGACTAGCGCCTTACACTGGGGAACTATCATGTGCTCAGGAAAGGAGATGTGTATTTTACAGTGCGCAGCAGAGGGCTCTGAACGAGTGTGGGTGTTCGATACCTGGGGTGATGCGAGAGTGCCCTGCCTGCCGCCTCCCGGCCCAAAAGAACGTTGACTATGACGTGTGGTGTATTGCCCCTTCGTGCCACCAGAGTGGTACTGTCGCTGTCCTCCTCCGCTCTCTCGGCCGGCGGCTCCACCCAGCTCCATCGGCTCGGGATCCGAGTCGTCCGGGGTGGAAACGGGCAGACCCCTACCAGGACGTCCTCTGGCTGCCAGCAGGTTGTCCAAACGAATGGCCATGTCCACCAGTTTGTTGAAGGACAACATGGTGTCTCGGCAGGCTAGCTCCCGTCGGACATCCTCCCGCAGATGGCACCAGAAATGGTCGATCAGGGCCCGCTCATTCCACCCGGACCCTGCTGCCAGCGTCCGAAACTCAAATGCGAAGTCCTGCGCAGTCCTCGTCCCCTGCCTCAGGTGGACCAGCTGCTCGCCCGCCTCTCGACCCTCGGGCAGGTGATCGAAGACCGCCCGGAAGAGGCGAGCGAACTCCCCGTTGTTCTCCAACGCGGCTCCTCCTTCGTTCCACACCACGTTGGCCCACTCCAGGGCTTTCCCCGAGAGGCAGGAGACGAGGGCGGACACCTTCTCCCGCTCCGATGGAACCGGTCGGATGCTGGAGAAGTAGAGCTCCAGTTGGAGAAGGAATCCTTGGCACAGCGCCGCTGTCCCGTCGAACTCCCCTGGTCGGGATATCCGGATCCCTCCAGGTGCTGGGGTGTAGGTGGCGGGATCCGGTTGACCAGCTGGTCTCAACGGATCGGGCTCTCTCCTCTCCAGGCGTTGGATGACCTGAAGAACCCGACCCATCGCTTCACCCAAGCTGGCTAGCATAGTTGAATGCTCCTGGACCTGTTCCACGACTCCAGGCATGTGCGTCTCTCCCGCTGACTCCATAAGCGGGTGGGTGATTCTGTGATGAGGTGGTGATGAAGGAGTCAGGCACAGGAGGGTAATTCACAGAATAACAGGCTTTAATCCGCAAAATACAGGTTTACGCAGAAATGTGTCAAACACACTCCAGGGCACAAAACAGGTGCACTGGAAAATACAAGGCACACAGGAAAAAATACTCCTGTCGATACACAATACACGAGCTCCACCGAGCTTCACTAACCTCCACAATAAACAATCACCCACACAGACAAGGAAGCAGAGGGAACACTTATACCATGACTAATGAGGGAATAAGGACCAGGTGTGTGATTGAAGACAAGACAAATGGAGTGATGATAAATGTATCGGCAGTAGCTAGTAAGCCGGTGACGCCGAACGCCGAAACCTGCCCGAACAAGGAGGGGAGGCAGCCTCGGCGGAAGTCGTGACACTTCTGGACTTATTTTGAAGGTGTTTTAATAATTGTGGCAAATACATTACAACATCGATTTCCCCAGAGACAAAAAAAACACAAAAACTAACCAATCAAAATACCATCTTAAACAATTAAGAGTTATGTACGTGTTCTGTAATAATCAGCTCTCCATTGTGCAGTGGTAAATAGACGGAGACGGTCATGGAGAACACATACCGTATATCATACCAGGCATTTGACCAGGGAAACAAATCAGGTGTGAAATGTTGTCTTGGAAAGTTAGATCTTGGAAGCTATGTCATCAACATGTTCGTACCACAGCATTAAACAGCCTATAATAAAATAGCCATGATGAACCTGGCGCCATTTAACATTTATGTACTGTACATGGCCTGCTTTCATATGGGAACCAGCGTGAAACCTCAGGGCACCCTGCTTGAGTAACAATGCAGACCAGATGTGGAGGGAACCGTATGACCAGTATTAGACAAGCCCACAGTAGGGTCCATTGTCTTCCCATACTGGCAAACCCCAAAGACAGCATTCCAGAGGAAGCAAACAAGAAAACCAACCAACCAACAACTGTTATTTAGGGAAGAGTTAGTTACAAATAGAGAGAGCAAAAAAGAGAGAGTGAATTGGATGCGATTCACCAAGGCGCCAGCCTGACATTCTCCATGTACATGTTGAGTGTGAAAACCTGCACTGTAAACAATCACGGCCAAATCAAACTGTATGCATAATGGGAAGAAAATAGACTGGAAAAGAAACAGAGAGATTCTCATAGACTGTTCATTGTGTGGTGTTCAAAACACAGATAAATGAAACTCTTTTGGGAACATTTGGTAGGAAGGAATTTATTATTTATTTATTATTTTTATTGAACCCTTATTTTACCAGGTAAGTTGACTGAAAACACATTCTCATTTACAGCAAAAACCCGGGGAATAGTTACAGGGGAGAAGAGGGGGGATGAAGGAGCCAATTGGAAACTGGGGATAATTAGGTGGCCATGATGGTATGAGGGCCAGATTGAGAATTTAGCCAGGCCACCGGGGTTAACACCCCTACTCTTACGATAAGTGCCATTAGTGACCACAGAGAGTCAGGACAACCATTTAACTTATAATCCGAAAGATGCCACCCTACACAGAGCAAAGTCCCCAATCACATGGTGAGGGGTGAGAGTGGCACATGGACACGTGTAGACAAATAAGAGAAAGGACAGAAGGAAAACCTTTTCATATCTTATGGAACATTCAAGTGGTCTTTGAAACCAAACTTTAGTCTAGACTAGCACAACGGGGAAGAGACAAACATCCCTTTGTTTGACATTGCTTGTGGACACTTTGCAAATTAGATTTTACACAGGCACTAGTTAAGTAGCTTCAATGGAAAAGTCATGGGGGCCACACTGGTAAAAGTTAGTGGGATTTCACAGTAAGCAGTATTTAAATTGGAACGTAAGTGTTTCATTGTTTTTCGGGCTGATATGACATTTAAGTAGAACAGGAGCCAGCTTAATTATCTCCTCATTTGCAGCGATATAATTACATAATTTGTACCTAGTTTTGATTTGCAAAAGGCCACATTGAACATTACATGCTCTGCTGTGGCAGCGGACTGAAACCATTACTGCATATTCAGTTGTAGGTTTAAAAAAAAACAAGTGTTAGTCAAATGCTGAATGACTACGAAGATTAAAGACAAATTAAATACTCCAACAGTGCTGAAGTTACATAAACATACAAAAGGATCTTTATTAATAATTTTGACAGACATTTCCAGGCCCTTTTACAGCATGTTTTATCCTCACTCAGTGTTTCCAGTAAACCCTCCTGGAGCTGGTACCCTTGGCATGACCACAGAGCTCAAATGAAAACAATTATTTGTCCCCCCTATCTCTGTCCTCATTCCCCCTTGCTATCGCTCACCTCCTGGGTCCCTAGAACACTCTCCAGTCTGCATTGCCAGAATCGAGGCAGATGGTCGTAGGTGCCGATGCCCAGCTCAGCGTCTTTCTGGGGCAGACTGAATGGCAGCAGGTGGCTCCTCAACACCTAATCAGGACAGGACAGATGTTAGAAAATACCATCAGGGGAGAGGGGAGGAGTGGCAGGAGGATAAGAAGGCCCAGGGGAAGGTGAGAGGAGGAGTGAAGATATGGAAGGCCCAGGGGAAGGTGAGAGGAGGAGTGAAGATATGGAAGGCCCAGGGGAAGGTGAGAGGACGAGTGAAGATATGGAAGGCCCAGGGGAAGGTGAGAGGAGGAGTGAAGATATGGAAGGCCCAGGGGAAGGTGAGAGGAGGAGTGAAGATATGGAAGGCCCAGGGAAAGGTGAGAGGATGAGTGAAGCTATGGAAGGCCCAGGGGAAGGTGAAAGGAGGAGTGAAGATATGGAAGGCATAGGGGAAGGAGAGTGAGAACAAGTGTGTACCTCATCAGTCAGGTAGTAGTGTCTTCCTCAGGAGGCTGCAACGGGCTGCTTCAACCTACTGGAGAAGGGGAAACAAAGGCCTTTCAGAGGGGCGTACAAAAGAGTTCATATTTAAAGTACAGAGCGATTCTCAATTACCCTCAAATTGCCTAGCCCTGATTAGCAGTATGACATTTATAGGAACTACAATACCACACAGTCCAGTCAATTGTCATCATGTTGGTCTGTACCTGTGATCCAGCGTCCTGAGAAAAGACTAAGGTGTTGAGGTGGGACAGAGCCACCACGTAGAGCACAAGACACCAGCCTCTCCTCATTGTCCCCGTCACCAGCGCCCAGAAGTAGTGTTGCAGCAGTGGGAGGGAGTCCTCTGGGGGTGACGTGAACCTCTCCATAGGGATGGCCAGCTAGGAGGAACACAGAGAGGGGTTAATTTAGCCTATCGTTATGTTACATGTTTTAGACACATTGTCAAATGGCATGTTGCAGAAATTGACAAGAGCCCCAGTGCTCCATCTACTGGCCGTCTACACAGAAATGTACCCTGTACTCTCAATCACAACTTTCAATCCAGCGTGTTAACCAGCCTCCCTCTCACCTGTTCCAGTGTTACCCCCAGGGAGTGCAGCAGGCCCACATGCTCCCCAAACACAGCCAGCTTCATGGTGGCATTGAAGCGCCTCTGCTGAAGCAGTCAAACAGGGGGTCCCCGACTGACACTGATTCAAACTGTCCTACCAGGGCAGAATAGAGGTCATTGATGGAGGCCAGGCCTGGAGGAGGGGAGTTGAGGTCCAGCCTCCAGCTGAGAGGGGCTGGTGAGCAGCCTGCAGAGAGCCCAGGTCAGCCTCTGGACAGGCCTCTCCAGGAAGAGATCACTGGAGCACAGGAAGATACAAGCCAGACGGGCCAGCTTGGCTACCGGCAGCACCACCCTGAGAGCCTCCTCCCTCCAGACCTGTGTGTGACCGACTGCACTGCCCCCGCGGGGAGCGACTCCACCTGCAGTCCACCTCCGTCGTACAGGCTGACGAGTGGCAGGAAGGACCAATTGGACGGGAGTTAGGGTCCGGAGAGTTCTTGGAGGAGCTGGGTGTTCGGCCCAGGTGGTGGTCCCTGGAGGAAAGAACAGAGGGCTCCATGTGGGCCAGGTGAGAGAGGTAGCAGCCCCGGACAGAGGGCAGCTGGACACAGGCTTCCCTCAGCAAAGGACCCAGGGTCTGGTGGGGAGGGGAGGAGCGCTCCTGCAGCCACAGCTCAGACAGCTTTGCAGCCTCTGGGCCTCCACTCTGACCCGCTCTGGAAGACAGGGAGAATGGAATAGTTTAGCTATACAGCATTGAGTTCCCATAAAATGGAGCCTTCATAAGAATACTTATAAGGCTGGTTGGCAGTGGCATCAGAGGAATACCAGCTATTGAGCAGTGATCTAACTGAAAGTGAAAAGGTCAGGAGTTAGATCCGGAGGATACTATTTGGTGCAACCTGGATATAATGTACGATGGCTTAGCATGACATGTTTAATATCATGTTGGAAACTATACTGAACAGAAATATAAACGCAACATGTAACAATTTCTACGATTTTACTGAGTTCAAATCAAATCAAATTATATTTGTCACATGAGCCGAATACAACAGTGAAATGCTTACTTACAAGCCCTTAACCAACAATGCAGTTTTAAGAAAAAAATTAAATAAATAGATAAGTAAAAATAAAAATAATTAAAAAATAATTAAAGAGCAGCAGTAAAATAACAGTAGCAAGGCCATATACAGGGGGTACCTGTACAGAGTCAATGGGCTGGGGCACAGGTTAGTCGAGGTAATTGAGTCGGAAGTTTACATACACCTTAGCCAAATACATTTAAACTCTGTTTTTCACAATTCCTGACATTTAATCCTAGTAAAAATTCACTGTCGTAGGTCAGTTAGGATAACCACTTTATTTTAAGAATGTGAAATGTCAGAATAATAGTAGAGAGAATGATTTAAGCTTTTATTTCATTCATCACATTCCCAGTGGGTCAGAAATTTACATACACTCAATTAGTATTTGGTAGCATTGCCTTTAAATTGTTTAACTTGGGTCAAACCTTTCGAGTAGCCTTCCACAAGCTTCCCACAATAAGTTGGGTGAATTTTGGCCCATTCCTCCTGACAGACCTGGTGTAACTGAGTCAGGTTTGTAGGCCTCCTTTGCTCGTTGCAGTTCTGCCCACAAATGTTCTATAGGCTTGAGGCTTTATGGCGGTTTTGGAGCAGTGGCTTCTTCCTTGCTGAGCGGCCTTTCAGATTATGTCGATATAGGACTTGTTTTACTGTGGATATAGATACTTTTGTACCTGTTTCCTCCAGCATCTTCACAAGGTCCTTTGCTGTTGTTCTGGGATTGATTTGCACTTTTCGCACCAAAGTACGTTCATCTCTAGGAGACAGGACGTGTCTCTTTCCTGAGCGGTATGACGGCTGCGTGGTCCCATGATGTTTATACTTGCGTACTATTGTTTGTACAGATGAACGTGGTACCTTCAGGCGTTTGGAAATTGCTCCCAAGGATAAATCAGACTTGTGGAGGTCTACAATTATTTTTCTGAGGTCCTGGCTGATTTCATTTGATTTTCCCATGATGTCAAGCAACGAGGCACTGAGTTTGAAGGTAAGCCTTGAAATACATCCACAGGTACACCTCCAATTGACTCAAATGATGTAAATTAGCCTATCAGAAGCTTCTAAAGCCATGACATCATTTTCTTGAATTTTCCAAGCTGTTTAAAGGCACAGTCAACTTAGTGTATGTAAACTTCTAACCAACTGGAATTGTGATACAGTGAAATAATCTGTCTGTAAACAGTTGTTGGAAAAATGACTTGTGTCATGCACAAAGTAGATGTCCTAACCGACTTGCCAAAACTATAATTTGTTAACATGAAATGTGTGGAGTGGTTGAAAAACTAGTTTTAATGACTCCAACCTAAGTGTATGTAAACTTCTGACTTCAACTGTACATGTAGGTAACTATGCATAGTTAATTAACAGAGAGTAGCAGCGGGGGGAGGGGGGGGAGGGGGACGGACAATGCAAATAGTCCGGGTAGCCATTTGATTAGCTGTTCAGGAGTCTTCTGGCTTGGGGGTAGAAGATGTTAAGAAGTCTTCTCGACCTAGACTTGGCGCTCCGGTACCGCTTGCCATGCGGTAGCAGAGAGAACAGTCTATGACTAGGGTGGCTGGAGTCTTTGGCAATTTTTGGGACCTTTCTCTGACACTGCCTGGTATAGAGGTCCTGGATGGCAGGAAGTTTGGCCCCAGTGATGTACTGGGCCGTACGCACTACCCTCTGTAGTGCCTTGCAGTCGGAAGCCGAGCAGTTGCCATACCAGGTGGTGATGCAACGGGTCAGGATGCTCTCGATTGTGCAGCTGTAGAACCTTTTGAGGATCTGAGGACCCATGCCAAATCTTTTCAGTCTCCTGAGGGGGAACAGGCTTTCTCGTGCACTCTTCACAACTGTCTCGGTGTGTTTGGACCATGATAGTTTGTTGGTGATGTGGACACCAAGGAACTTGAAGCGCTCAACCTGCTCGACTACAGCCTTGTCAATGAGAATGGGGGCATGCTCGGTCCTCCTTTTCCTGTAGTCCACAATCATCTCCTTTGTCTTGATCACGTTGAGGGAGAGGTTGTTATCCTGGCACCACAGGACCAGGTCTCTGACCTCCTCCCTATAGGCTGTCTCATCGTTGTCAGTGATCAGGCCTACCACTGTTGTGTCGTCTGCAAACTTAACGATGGTGTTGGAGTCGTGCTTGGCCATACAGTCATGGGTGAACAGGGAGTACAGGAGGGGACTGAGCACGCACCCCTGAGGGGCCCCCGTGTTGAGGATCATCGTGGCAGATGTGTTGTTACCTACCCTTACCACCTGGGGGCGGCCTGTCAAGAAGTCCAGGATCCAGTTGCAGAGGGAGGGGTTTAGTCCCAGGGTCCTTAGTTTAGTGATGAGCTTTGAGGGCAATATGGTGTTGAACGCTGAGCTGTAGTCAATGAATAGCATTCTCACATAGGTGTTCCTTTTGTCCAGGTGGGAAAGGGCAGTGTGGAGTGGAATAGAGATTGCATCATCTGTGAATCTTTTGGGGCAGCATGCAAATTGGAGTGGTTCTATGGTTTATGGGATAATGGTGTTGATGTGAAATATGACCAGCCTTTCATGGCTACAGACGTGAGTGCTACGGGTCGTTAGTCATTTAGGCAGGTTACCTTAGTGTTCTTGGGCACAGGGACTATGGTGGTCTGCTTGAAACATGTTGGTATTACAAACTCAGTCAAGGACAGGTTGAAAATGTCAGTGAAGACACTTGCCAGTTGGTCAGCGTATGCTCGGAGTACACGTCCTGGTAATCTGTCTGGCCCTGTGACCTTGTGAATGTTGACCTGTTTAAAGGTCTTACTCACATCGGCTACGGAGAGCGTGATCACACAGTCGTCCGGAACAGCTGATGCTCTCATACATGCTTCAGTGTTGCTTGCCTCAAAGCGAGCATAGGAGTAATTTAGCTCCTCTGGTAGGCTCGTGTCACTGGGCAGCTCGTGGCTGTGCTTCCCTTTGTAGTCCGTAATAGTTTGCAAGCCCTGCCACATCCGACGAGCATCGGAGCCGGTGTAGTACAATTAAATCTTAGTCCTGTATTGACGCTTTGCCTGTTTGATGGTTCGTCGGAGGGCATAGCGGGATTTCTTATAAGCGTCCTGGTTAGAGTCCCGCTCCTTGAAAGCGGCAGCTCTACCCTTTAGCTCAGTGTGGATGTTGCCTGTAATCCATGGATTCTGGTTGGGGTATGTACGTACGGTCACTGTGGGGACGACGTCATCGATGCACTTATTGATGAAACCTGTGACTGATGTGGTGTACTCCTCAATGCCATCGGAAGAATCACGGAACATATTCCAGTCTGTGCTAGCAAAACAGTCCTGTAGCTTAGCATCTGCGTCATCTGACCACTTCTGTATCGAGCGAGTCACTGGTACATCCTGCTTTAGTTTTTGCTTGTAAGCAGGAATCAGGAGGATGGAATTATGGTCAGATTTACAAATGGCGGGCGAGGGAGAGCTTTGTACGTGTCTCTGTGTGTGGAGCAAAGGTGGTCTAGAGTTTTTTTTCCTCTGGTTGCACATTTAACATGCTGGTAGAAATGGAAATGGATTTAAGTTTCCCTGCATTAAAGTCTCCGGCCACTAGGAGCGCCGCCTCTGGATGAGCATTTTCTTGTTTGCTTATGGCCTTATACAGCTCGTTGAGTGCAGTCTTAGTGCCAGTATCAGTTTGTGGTGGTAAATAGACAGCTACGAAAAATATAGACTGGGGAGCCAGGCCCAGCCAATCAGAATGAGTTTTTCCCCACAAAAGGGCTTTATTACAGACAGAAATACTCCTCAGCACCTAGGTCTAGACGTAGTGCAGCAAAGTCCCATCCTGAGAAAAACCAATGAACTTTATTGTGTGATTTGAGACGAAAGCCCCCAGCCCTTAGCCATGACCTTTTGAAAACCTGCTTCACATTTATTTCTAATTAAGCCTAGATCCAGACAATGGCAATGCAAAAACTAAATAAAACAGGATGTGTGAATGTGTTGAAAGAAGAACAATTATGGTGCTTAGCAGACCAGATGCTGTATAAATGTAAACTATGCTTGTATCTGGTGGTGCACAATGCCCACGGCAGCACACCGCTGCCACAAACTACGTAGATTTACAATGAATCAACGAGATGATATGTTCTGTGATGTGCCAACATTACAAATTTTGGCTTGAGGTAATGCATCACAACCACAGCTGGAGTATATATCTTCTCAACAATTCCTCTTCTGGCCCTGCACCTCGACACATCCAATATTTCATAGCACAGGAAGTTCTGTTTTATGAAAGTTCAGTGGAGGAGAACTCCTTTAGGATAGGTCATGTTGCTGTGGGAAAGACCACCATGTACATTTAGCCAGGAACCTTCCAAATCACACACACAATGCCCGTGAGAGCATTGACTTTCAACAGAACTTGGCCAGTGGGAACCTGGAAGCAGTACAAACAACTCGGTCAAATATTGTAAAGATGATTATGGTCAACTATCTGTATCTGATATATTTAACAGGGGAAATTGTCAAGTATCCCAACAAGTGGAGACTTCACAGATGCACATACATGTACAGATTCACTACTTAACAAAGCCACTTGTATGAGGAACAAAGTGACTGAAGGACAAGATGAGCCTATAGGGAGATGAGACACAGCCTGGCCCTGAATGACTCTATATGATGATGCTATATAGCCTAAGACTAGCCTGGGTACCAGTAGGGCTGTGGTGGTCAGCTGGTTATTATCATGCATTATCATGCAAATTTTACATTTTACATTTTAGTCATTTAGCAGACGCTCTTAACCAGAGCGACTTACAGGAGCAATTAGGGTTAAGTGCCTTGCTCAAGGGCACATTAACGTCATTTAGCAGACGCTCTTAGCCAGAGCGACTCACAAATTGGTGCGTTCACCCTATAGCCAGTGGGATAACCACTTTACAATTTGGGGGGGGGGGGGGGGGGGGGGGGGGGTTAGAAGGAATACTTTATCCTATCCCAGGTATTCCTTAAAGAGGTGGGGTTTCAAATGTCTCCGGAAGGTGGTGAGTGACTCCGCTGTCCTGGCGTCGTGAGGGAGCTTGTTCCACCATTGGGGTGCCAGAGCAGCGAACAGTTTTGACTGGGCTGAGCGGGAGCTGTGCTTCCGCAGAGGAAGGGGAGCCAGCAGGCCAGAGGTGGATGAACGCAATGTCCTCGTTTGGGTGTAGGGACTGATCAGAGCCTGAAGGTACAGAGGTGCCGTTCCCCTCACTGCTCCATAGGCAAGCACCATGGTCTTGTAGCGGATGCGAGCTTCAACTGGAAGCCAGTGGAGTGTGCGGAGGAGGGGGGTGACGTGAGAGAACTTGGGAAGGTTGAACACCAGACGGGCTGCGGCATTCTGGATGAGTTGTAGGGGTTTAATGGCACAGGCAGGGAGCCCAGCCAACAGCGAGTTGCAGTAGTCCAGACGGGAGATGACAAGTGCCTGGACCAGGACCTGCGCCGCTTCCTGTGTAAGGCAGGGTCGCACTCTCCGAATGTTGTAGAGCATGAACCTGCAGGAGCGGGTCACCGCCTTGATGTTGGCGGAGAACGACAGGGTGTTGTCCAGGGTCACGCCTAGGCTCTTCGCACTCTGGGAGGAGGACACAGCGGAGTTGTCAACCGTGATGGCGAGATCATGGAACGGGCAGTCCTTCCCCGGGAGGAAGAGCAGCTCCGTCTTGCCAGGGTTCAGCTTGAGGTGGTGATCCGTCATCCATACTGATATGTCTGCCAGACATGCAGAGATGCGATTCGCCACCTGGTTATCAGAAGGGGGAAAGGAGAAGATTAGTTGTGTATCGTCAGCGTAGCAATGATAGGAGAGACCATGTGAGGATATGACAGAGCCAAGTGACTTGGTGTATAGGGAGAAAAGGAGAGGGCCCAGAACCGATCCCTGGGGGACACCAGTGGTGAGAGCACGTGGTGCGGAGACAGCTTCCCGCCACGCCACTTGGTAGGAGCGACCGGTCAGGTAGGACGCAATCCAGGAGTGAGCCGCGCCGGAGATGCCCATCTCGGAGAGGGTGGAGAGGAGGATCTGATGGTTCACAGTATCAAAGGCAGCAGACAGGTCTAGAAGGACAAGAGCAGAGGAGAGAGAGTTAGCAAATGACTGCTGGTCCATTAATTAACATAAACATAAACCTTTAGCATCTCCAGGCCTCCACGCATACAGGCTGCTGATGGTACTACTGTCACGCCTACTCCTGCTGCCTCCCTCCCTCTGATGCTCGACTTCGCTGGTCTATTAACCACCTGCCCTGGCAACTACACTGCTCAAAAAAATAAAGGGAACACTAAAATAACACATCCTAGATCTGAATGAATGAAATAATCTTATTAAATACTTTTTTCTTTACATAGTTGAATGTGCTGACAACAAAATCACACAAAAAGTATCAATGGAAATCAAATGTATCAACCCATGGAGGTCTGGATTTGGAGTCACCCTCAAAATTACAGTGGAAAACCACACTACAGGCTGATCCAACTTTGATGTAATGTCCTTAAAACAAGTCAAAATGAGGCTCAGTAGTGTGTGTGGCCTCCACGTGCCTGTATGACCTCCCTACAACGCCTGGGCATGCTCCTGATGAGGTGGCGGATGGTCTCCTGAGGGATCTCCTCCCAGACCTGGACTAAAGCATCCGCCAACTCCTGGACAGTCTGTGGTGCAACGTGGCGTTGGTGGATGGAGCGAGACATGATGTCCCAGATGTGCTCAATTGGATTCAGGTCTGGGGAACGGGCGGGCCAGTCCATAGCATCAATGCCTTCCTCTTGCAGGAACTGCTGACACACTCCAGCCACATGAGGTCTACTATGGTCTTGCATTAGGAGGAACCCAGGGCCAACCGCACCAGCATATGGTCTCACAAGGGGTCTGAGGATCTCATCTCGGTACCTAATGGCAGTCAGGCTACCTCTGGCGAGCATATGGAGGGTTGAGCGGCCCCCCAAAGAAATGCCACCCCACACCATGACTGACCAACCGCCAAACCGGTCATGCTGGAGGATGTTGCAGGCAGCAGAACGTTCTCCACGGCGTCTCCAGACTCTGTCACGTCTGTCACATGTGCTCAGTGTGAACCTGCTTTCATCTGTGAAGAGCACAGGGCGCCAGTGGCGAATTTGCCAATCTTGGTGTTCTCTGGCAAATGCCAAACGTCCTGCACGGTGTTGGGCTGTAAGCACAACCCCCACCTGTGGACGTCGGGCCCTCATACCACCCTCATGGAGTCTGTTTCTGACCGTTTGAGCAGACACATGCACATTTGTGGCCTGCTGGAGGTCATTTTGCAGGACTCTGGCAGTGCTCCTCCTGCTCCTCCTTGTACAAAGGTGGAGGTAGCAGTCCTGCTGCTGGGATGTTGCCCTCCTACGGCCTCCTCCACGTCTCCTGATGTACTGGCCTGTCTCCTGGTAGCGCCTCCATGCTCTGGACACTACGCTGACAGACACAGCAAACCTTCTTGCCACAGCTCGCATTGATGTGCCATCCTGGATGAGCTGCACTACCTGAGCCACTTGTGTGGGTTGTAGACTCCGTCTCATGCTACCACTAGAGTGAAAGCACCACCAGCATTCAAAAGTGACCAAAACATCAGCCAGGAAGCATAGGAACTGAGAAGTGGTCTGTGGTCACCATCTGCAAAACCAGTCCTTTATTGGGGGTGTCTTGCTAATTGCCTATAATTTCCACCTGTTGCCTATTCCATTTGCACAACAGCATGTGTAATTTATTGTCAATCAGTGTTGCTTCCTAAGTGGACAGTTTGATTTCACAGAAGTGTGATTGACTTGGAGTTACATTGTGTTGTTTGAGTGTTCCCTTTATTTTTTTGAGCAGTGTATATTATGCACAATTGTTCCCCATCAGTAAGCACACCTGGTCATCATTTTCTCCTTGATTACTCCCCCTTTATTTAGCCCTCAGTTGACATCAGTCATTAGGTACTATTGTTTTATCTCACGTTCTGTAAGCGTGTTTGTTCATCTGTATCGGTTCATTATTAAACTCACCTTCTGCACCTGCTTCCTGACTCCCAGCGTACACGTTACACAGAATATGAATGGCCTAGTGTATGTGCCACACCATAGGCTGTAGGCTTGTTCATTTAGCAGACAAGATATGTTTATAAGTACTGTGCCATTATGTTTCACTATATGATTGTATAGTAAGAGGAATATAATTTAACTTAGCTGAATAAAATAGAAAGGACATTTTTTTCATTACGGAGCAATATTTGCATTAAGTGGCTATGTTGAGCGTAAAAGTGATAATTTGAAACAGGTCCTTTAAGCTAGATTTAGAGTTAATTGGCAACTTTAATTGTTAATGATACAAACCTTAATGTCTTAGAAATGAAATATATATATTGGCTGCATGATGCAACTATATAGGCTATTAATGATTTGAGAAAGCCGCAAAAAAAGCTTGCGCTTTGTTCCTTTACTTAGGCTGCACACTGTTCTCTCATAAAGTGATCATATTTTTCACCCATCAGGCTATTCTCAATTTAATCTCGTCTTTACTAATATGTCACATTTGTTTCGATTTAGAATGGTTCATTATCAAATGGACAGGGGCAGGGGGGGAAATACGTAATCTGTATGCACTCGAATAGCAAATGGAAGCTCCTTTCCTTGGGCTCGATTTTCAATCATGCCAGATAGGCTACTCCGGTTTTATAGCGGAGCATGTGCTAAATACTAGCAGCTGAGAAAGAAATATAGTAGCAGCTGGGATCCATTTCTTAGTGACAAGCATCAACAACGCCTCAACCACTGTTTGAGGAACATGCTTTTGCTGCGTAACAGGTGATATTTCGTCCAAACTCTGTATGCCATGGAATCTCCAACCCTGTTCCTGCAGCTACCCAGTGCTTAATTCGGGAAACCATGTGAAATATGTTTGGGAACATCGATAGTAACATGTTTTCACAACAAAACATATTGAATTAAACTTGACAGCCCCTCTCTCTGCGCGCTCGAGAAAGGAATGAAGGAGAGAGGAGACGATGGAAACACACGGTGGTGAGATTGTATAGCTAAAGGTAATGTCAACCTATTAATTATGAAAATATAAAAAATGCCTTATTCACTATAACTGTAGGATAACTCGGTAAGCCGCCCTGCAAAATCAATGACCCAACAGCATCGCCTAGGCCTGCCTATATGTTCTCTCCCAGGCTCATGGATAGAACGTTTGGAACGTAGCATAAGGTAACCATCCATCCAGTATGGATAATAACACAGTCCACACTCAAAGGCTATTACTAGAATTTTTGGAGTATAGGCTAGACCAATTATGCGGTAGGCTGTTAGGCTATGTATTGTATAATGGTACAATCATTATTTTAATTCAGGTAATT